CGAGGGCACTTTCTCCCTGACTAAAGTGCTAGCAGAGACCACTGTTCCTCTGCTGAAACCTCCCCCACTATAGAGCTGACTGGCAGCCATATTTGAGTCTCCATCAACCTAGCTTACACCTGTTGGCAGCAGCTTTTCCATATGAATGGCCTGTCCTGGCTCAGGCTTCAGACTTGGCTAAAATCCCTCAAACAAGAAGAAACTGGCCTTCATGCCTCTCAATAAGAGGTCCCAGGTCCGGCACCAGCAGCAGCCTGCCTTCACAGCTCGGCCTTCCTGGGAACTTCCAAGCCCAACACAAGTAGCAACCATCTGCAGATCTCTCTATAGCTCCTGACAGATGGCCCAGGCAGGGCAGTGGCTGACTTTGCACCTCCCGGTAGGCCCCAGAGCCAGTGCACCTAGAGGACAGCTTTAGCTCACTCCAGATTACAACCCTACCACATCCACCAGTGGCACACTCAAGGGGAAGACTCAGTGAGCATCAAAGCCCCGCTGAATCAAGTCCCGCTCCATAGGGGTGTCTCCTGCTCTTTCACTGTAGTCACAGCTGGTCCTCGCAGCCAATTGGCCTGGAAGTTCTCACAGCCAATTGGCCTGGGGGTCAATTCCTACCAGTGACACCAACAGCACTTAAGACTCAACTACAACAAGACTGTGCACACAGCCCACAAAGGGCCACACCTAGAGCACCCAGCTCAGGTGACTGGGGAGGCTGAGCCACTGGGCCCTACAGGACACCCACTACACAAGGCCACTCTACCAATTCCAGGAGACATACAGCTCTACCTAAGACATAGAAGCAAACACAGGGAAGCAGGCAAATCACAAAGACAAAGAAACATGTCACGGTGCCCATACAGCAGGGCTGGCCCCCGTCATGGCCACTGTGCCCAAGTCTATTCTCAGCCAAGGGAGATTAGAATGGGATGCACAGGTCCTCTGAGACCCACGGGGCAGCCATGGTGGGCTTCCGGGCCTGCCCTCGGACTACATGGCCCTCAGAACCCGGCTCCTGCCTGAGGAGACTCTGGGTGAATGACTTGGAAGGAGTGGCCGGGAAGCCTTTAAAAGCCTTGTGTTGACCCCAATGAAACATAATGCACATCTGCCCATGGGATACACACTTTGCATTCTCTCCTGGTGGTAGTTTTATTCATACTTTTGTCAGATTTGGGAGATTCTCAGTGCCTTAAATCTCCACCTTGAAATCACAGCCCCAGAGGCAGGTGGTGGCGTCCTGGGACTTCACTCTGTGACTCGGGTGTCCGCTGCAGCCGGTTCCCAGGATCACCCAGTCGTGAGGAGCTCTCACCCGAGCCCCCGCTCGCACGGCCTTACTTCTTCCTCACAGTCGTGACGTGAGGTGCGTGCAGGGGTGCTGGGATCAGCGGGTATTCTCTGTGCGGATTATAAAGTGCTCATGAGAACAACAGCAACTACATGGTCATCGACTCCTGACACCACGGTATGTTCTGGAAAACCCGGAATTTAGTCCTGCCGAGCGAGCTCTTCCTGAGAGAGTCGGACAGACAGACAGACAGACAGATAGACATTGGTCCATGCACAGCTTGGAGACAGGTGCCCCGAGTCTGCTCAGCGGCTCCAGGCGAATCTCACGGAAGGACAGCGTGGCGACTGGCATCGGGACATTTAATTTAAATTTCCATCTACGGCGCTATGGGAAGGCTATGTTCTCAAAGGGCCTTTCTCTGTTGACCTTTAAGATAAAAAGCTTTGCGTGCAGCCCCCGGGAACAGAGGGGCTGAAGGGGCGATGGCGTGAGCCTGCCTCCGAGATGCATTTGCAGTCTCTCCGCAATGTTCCTCCCAAACACTGGCTCATTGTCCCGGAAGCTCTCGTGTGAGACTCCGACAGTCACGTCTCCTCCGTCCTCCCAACTCAGGAGGAAAGTGTGAAACCTCCTCTAGTCCCCGAGATGACCCTTACGGGGATTGTGCATTTTCTTCTGTAGACAGAGATCTACAAATACGTTCATTTTTATAAAAAGGAGAAAGGAATACAATGACGGCTGTAAACTCTTTGAGCTGGTTGGGGGGAGTTGTCAGGCATCTCACATGTCGGATTCGGGACTCCTGCTGCCCGGTTTTAAGTCCTGCCCTGTCGTGACCAGACGGGGGACTGGACAGGTCACCTAGCTGTGCCTCAGTTTCCCACCCATGAGAGCGGCCGGGGACATAGCTACCTGTTGGATGCTGTGAGGGTTTCATCATTTCACCCCTTAGATTCATGCCCCCACGTGCTCAGCGCAGTGTACCTTTTAGTTATTATTCTAGTTATTGTTTTAAACCTCTGCTCCCCGCCTCCCGCCGGGAGGAGTATGTGCAGCCATTTTAACAGCCTCTCCAACCCCAAGGCCTTCATCATCCCGTAGAATGGGGGTGGGGGTTTCCACGGTTAAAAGGGCACTCGGCCCTGACCGGTTTGGCTCAGTGGATAGAGCCTCAGCCTGCGGACTGAAAGGTCCCGGGTTCGATTCCAGTCAAGGGCATGTACCTTGGTTGTGAGCACATCCCCGGTGGGAGGTATGCAGGAGGCAGCTGATCAATGTTTCTCTCCCATCGATGTTTCTAACTCTCTATCCCTCTCCTTTCCTCTCTGTAAAAAAATCAATAAAATATATTTTAAACAATAAAACAAAATAAAAGGGCATTCGGGTACCCGATGCCTTTAACGTGTACCAGGACCCACCAGGGCGTGTGGGAGGAGCCTGTGCTTTATGTTTGTAAAGCAAAGGGAGTCCCCTTTGGGCATCGGCATTGCCCCATGGCATGCTGGGTCTGGGGACCATGCTCCCGCGTGCATGACCATGACTGACAGCTAGCCATGCCTGCCAGGCCGCAAAGACAGCCCATCTCAATGGTGACCAAAAACCCATGTGTATTTCCAAAAAGCCCACATCCATGGTGACCCACATGCACACACCAAGAACATGGGCCCTTACCCAGAGGCAGGAAGGGTCCCTGCAGAAACCGGCCCCCAACCCGACCTCCACCTCCGCACTGGCTTGCGGTGCTATTTCCCGGTTACAGTCACAGGTTATATTTGCTCTAAGGTTATTACTGGTGACATTATCTTACTTTTGCTTTTCTAATGAAGTTGATAAAGTACCTAGTTATAATGGGAGCTGCTCTGAAATACTTGTGGATCTAGATAATAAGTAACAGATGGGCCTTCACAACACGCAGTAAAGGCAACTCGGGCTGAGGAGCGAGGGCCCGCGCCGCTGACGGTAGAAGGCGAGCTGCCGTTTGTGAGTTGCCTCAGCCACCTGGCCACGTAGGTCAGGACTGCGCAGTTCTCTGGATTCAGGTTCTGTGGGCTTTTATTTTGTTTTGTTGTTTTGTCTTTATTGTTGAGAGTATTACAGATGCCTCCTTCCCCCCATTGACCCCCTCCAGCCCACCCCGCCTCCCGTCTCAGGCCTTCACCACCCTATTGTCTGTGTCCTGTTCATCCGTCTATTTTGTTACTTAGATTCCACGTAGGAGTGAGATCCCGTCATACTTGTCTTTCTCAGACGGGCTTATGTCACTTAGCACAATACTCTCCAGGTCCCTCCGTGCTTGAGTTTTTGGTGTTTGTGTGCTTGTTGTTGTTTTTTGGCCTCACAGAATCCGCCTTTGTCAGCGTTCTGTGCCCCGGCGGGTTGTAGACTGGATTATGTCCAGGTCCACACCAGTGTCTGATGTCCTCTCGGCTGTACCGACCTAGACTCCTCTCCACCCTCGTCTCGGGCCCACAGAAGCCCAGGACCAAAGACAGTGCCTTTAGAGTTGGTGTGAGGTCAGACCCGCGGGAGAGGGCTAATGGATGTGGAAGGGTTTGGGGCTAAATGCAGTCGGCTTTGTGCAAACACTCAGTTTCTTTATGGTGATAACAATCCCTCATTAGCCCAGAAGAGGCGGTCTCCCTGGGCCTTGTGGTGCCTCCCGCAGGAGAAGGCTGGGCGAGCATCCGTCTCAGAGCCCAGGGCCTCTGCTTTCTGCTCACTCGTCTGGCAGGTCTCAGACCCTTGGGTTTGGGCCCTGGTTCCACGACAGGGAACACTGATGTGGAAAGTGGTGCCACACATCCTGTGACCGGTAAGGGTGCTGGCCCAACTGCATTCTTCATTTTTTTTAATACATTTGTATTGACTTCAGAGAGGAAGCGAGAGAGAGAGAGAAACATCAATGATGAGAGAGAATCATGGACCGGCTGCCTCCTGCACACCCCACACTGGGGATCGAGTCCACAAACCAGGCATGTGCCCTGACCAGGAATCGAACCGTGACCTCCTGGTTCATAGGTTGGCGCTCAACCACTGAGCCACACCAGCTGGGCCCATCTTAGTTTTCAGAGTGACTGTGAGAGTGACTTTGAAGTAGAAATCCCCCGTGTGGCTTTCCACCCGCATGTGTCTACAGGAGCTGCCCCAACCTGGTACCACTGGCTCTGTTGTCTCCCAGCTCCTGGCTCTGGAGGCTGGAGTCCCTGATAGAGGCCCCGCCCACCCAGTCCACTTTCTCTTTCTCTCTGTTTTTTTTAAAATAAATCTTTATTGTTGAAAGTATTACTTATGTACCTTTTCCCCCATCTCCCTCTCCTCTCCTCCCACCCCATGAGGCCTCTCCTCCTGGCCGCAGACAGCTGACGTCCGGCTGTGTCCTCACTGGGCTCCTCCCTGTGCACTGATGGGGGTGAGAGAGATGGAGAGACAGAGAGCGAGCCCACCACACCTGTCAGTTAGGGCCCCGCCCTGATGACCTCCTTTAACCTTTGTTCCCTCCCTCATGGCCTTATCTCTCAATGCAGTCACATTGGGGTCACAGTTTCAACATACGAATTGCGGGGGGATAGGGCTCAGTCCATCGCACCAACTAACATGATGGCTCTGCTTCTCAGGAAATCCCCGTGGGGGAGGCACTGCCTGGGGCTCCTCTGCCACTTGAGCTTTTGCACATGCTCTGTCCACTCATTCTCGTTCCTCTTCCAGATCAGCATCTTCATGACCCACCTGTCCAACTACGGCAACGACCGCCTGGGGTCCTACACCTTCGTGAACCTGGCCAACTTCGTGCAGAGCTGGACCAACCTGCGCCTGCAGACGCTGCCGCCCCTGCAGCTGGCCCGCAAGTACTTTGAGCTCTTCCCGGAGCAGAGGGACCCGCTCTGGCAGGTAACACGGGAGGGCGTGGGGGGAATCAGGGGGCGGGCAGGGAGGCTATGAGTGCCGATCGGGGGTAGGAGCTCAGCTGCAGAGAGTACAGCATCACTCAGGAGAAAGCCCTGCGGGACAGACAGCGTCCTCTCCCCTCTCCTCCGCCCTGTGCTGCGCTCTCCTCCAGGATGCCTGCTGCGTGTCTCAGTCTGGGCGGCGGGATCCACCCAACACGTGTCCACTGAGCATCCCCAAGCGTGAGGTTAGGCTGCTGCTCAAAAGAAAGCAAGGAGCAGAGGACAAGGTTTCCTCCCGGAGCCGTGGAGGGTCCCTGTGGGTCTGGCTCGCGGGGATGTGTTTCACAGGCGCGTGGAGACAACCGTGACCGTGAGCCCAGCCCATTCTGAAGCCGCTCTCAGCAGGTTAACAAGGTGGGAGTCTCACACTCCCAGTAAGCAGCCTGGCCACCTGTGTGAGGTGATAACCCGAGAGGCCGATGAATAGGTACAGACGTCTATATATATAAAAGCCTAATATGCAAATTGTCCAGTTTGACTGGAGACCGGGAGTTCAATCGCCCTCTATGATGTGCACCGACCACCAGGGGTCAGCACAGAATGAAGGAAGGTCCCGGCCGCAGCCCAAAGGCTCCGATTGGCACTGATCCCCGGCCAGGCTTAGGGGCCTTACCTGTGCACGAATTCCATGCACCAGGCCTCTAGTCCTTAATAAGGCGCCTACAGTCACACCCTGTCCTTGCTGAACAAAGGCAAAGCAGCGTGTCCCACACGCCTGTGACGTTGATAAATCATCGGGAGTAAACCGCTCCTGTTTCATGCACGTTTGCTTATGCGATATCTATAATTCATGGCACAAGAACCAGAAAAAGCAGCAACGTAAAGAAGGGTGCCGACAGCTGACATGAAAAACGAAGCAATGCTCCCACGCTCTACTCTTTCTCCTGCTTTAGACAAAAGTGTTGTTTTCATGACGAATGTGTATCGTTAACACTGTGAGGTTTTCTTCGGGCTAGCTAATTGTGTTTTGTTTTGTTTTTATATCAGGGACACTATTTATTTGCTGAGGAGTGAATGGCATATGATTGGGGCACCATGAGGATTCTAAATACTGAGTGTTTGTTCAGCGTGAAACACGGTGCTGGTTTGGGGGGATCGATGAACATTAGAAAGGGGACATAGAACTGTGTTTCAGGGACCACGTCGCTGTGGAGGAGGCAAAACATCTACAGACACAGGAAACGTTGGCAGAGCCTGACGGTTCTTGTTTGAAAAGCAGCACAGAGGTCCGTTTCTGGGCCACTCTTACGAAATGACAGAATTCGCCAGAACAGGCTAGAGAGTTCACGCGGTTCTGTGACCGTTGCTGCCATTCATGTACATTTAGAAATCTTCAGATGTGTCATCGAAACAGCTCGCTGTCGAGCATCTAAGTAAAATAAAGGAGAGTAAGAGACTCCCATTGCATTCTGGGAGGTGCATGGTTTATGTGGCTCCTTCAGACGGGAGGTGAAGTTGCAAATGTTTCACATGAACCAAAGCCACGCCTTCTCAGATGGATCTCAGAAGAAGGCGAGGACGGGAGCGGACGGCGGTGAGGGTCAGGGATCACTCGGGCCCACGGCGTTGGCAGCGGCTGCCGCGTTGAAGAAAACCTGACAGACTCTGTGGGCCACGAGCAGCGTCCGAGGCTGCGGGAGGCTCCGGAAAGATAAAGCACAAATGCTGCCCAGCTCCTTCCCGGCGAGTCTCTCCTCGCCTACTCGTAGTTATGGTAGCAACCCGCCCAGCTGTGGGCATCAGCAGCCAGGCTTTTATACAGGGTTCCGTTTCGTCAAGAACATAAACACAGCCCAGCTAGTGTGGCTCAGGGGTTGAGCATCGTCCCAGGGACCAAGAGGTTTGGGGGTTCAATTCCCAGTCAGGGCCCGTGCCCGGGGTGCAGGCTCGATCCCCAGTAGGGAGTGTGCAGGAGGCAGCTGACAGATGTGTCTCTCTCATTGATGTTTCTATCTCTCTCTCCCTCTCCCTTCCTCTCTCTCTAAAGTCAATAAAATCATATCCTTGAATGAGGGTAAAAAATATAATAATAATAATAATAGTG